CTTCCTCTTGATAAGCATGTCCTTGGGTAAAGATTATAAAAATAAAGCTCCCCAGATTATAATGTTCAGCTTGAGTCGAGAGTTTACTGCTCCAGCTATAACAAAGACACTTTGATCTGGCTCCAGTGACATCCACCCATTGTTTGTCCTGGGCCCTGTGTCTTGCCTGGTCCTTAGTCCTGAGCTGGACTTTGGATTTTGGATTATCAGGCAACAGGCCGAACCAGGGCCTGGGCAGCTCTCTCACAGCCCAATGAGTGCCCACAAGGCATAAGGACTAGTTTCCCAATAGTGGCGTGAAGAAGACACAGTTGGTGACATTAGCTTGGTAAGGTATGACTTCCCAAAGCTTAGTTGCCCACTGCTTTCTCTTTCCCTCCTAGCTTTCTCTCTCACTTCTTTACAACTAAGACACAATCAGAACTGAGCCTTTAAGACTATGTGAATACAAAGTTCAAGTAGTCCTAACAAAGGAAGCCCTTTCTAATGATAGCTTTCATATAGATACTTTCAAAACCAGATAAAACCTTACCACATCCAGACTAACCAGAAAGGTAGGCAGGAAAGTTATTGGTCCTTACTGTTTAGATTTGGAAATGAAACCTTGGAGAATGAAGAAAGTTGCCTAAGATGACTTAGGCAACAAGTATGGGAGCGGCTTAATTGGAAAAATCTTTTTCTCAAACTCAGTTATCATGTTTGGGCATTATTGCATTTCCTCTGTGGGGAATGTTGCTGCCTTTCTCCTGGATGCATAAACTCTACCCTCGTTCATAGAGTGCAGCACAAGAAAAGAAGTCTTGCTTTTCTCCTCATTGCATCCTTCTCTGCACAGAAAAATGCTCCATGCTAAGAGGGTCCTTGGTATGTGGCCTGTTGTAAGTGTAGGTGCAGGTACCATCATTGACCTCAAAAACCATCTGCTTCTGCTCAGCCAGTTCTTCCTTGATGCTCCCTCCAGGAGGAGGCTTGTGAGTGTGGCCCTGAGGCCAGATTTGACTCCAGAGCTCTCTAGAATGCCTCCTCCCCCAATTTTTGGGGGTTCAATTCAGGTGGGCCCCTCCCCAGGGGAAGAGTCTGGTCTTAAATCTCGATGGAATCCAGCTTGTGCCAGCTGAGTGCTGTCCCTGACCTGTCCTGGCATATCAGCCTTGCCTTGGCCAGAGCACAGCTTGCATGATATAGATGCTGAAACTACTGGAATCTGCACATCTGGCCACAGTCAGGCATTCCTACATCAATTGTGTCAGCCTGTCCAGTGTCACTCTCTCTGCCAGGCACATAAGGCAATCCTCAGTCTGGACCACCTAGGCCCTAGCTCCAGGTGAATTGATTCTTCTGGGAGTGGGTGGTCACTCCTGGCCTCAGCTTGGGCAAGCTGAGATGGGTGGGAGGGACGAAGGCAAAACACCTTACCTCAGCCCTTAATCACCAAGACATATATCCCTGATTGCTCATCTGGGAGGGGGCTTCAGAGCCTCCCAGCATTCCATGAGGTGGTATGTTGTTGGGAGCCAATGTCCTTGACATCCTGTTGGGGAATAACTTATTACATTCTCCAGATTCCTGCCAGGGAGGGCTGCTGGGGATGCAGGCTGGGGCCCTGCTTTGGACTTCTTGGCTCCTTTATCTTTTTGAGCTATTGTGGTCTCTGAAATTTCTGCCTCATAACCTCACTTCCCTGAGCCATTTGGCTCCAATTCTGATGGTAATAAGGATGCTGCCACTTTCCAGATCTAGAAGGGAGCTCTAGCTGAGTCTCTTTCTCCCATTTCCTCTTTTTCCTTAGGAAGCTTCAGTTATGGTGGGGTGGGAACTCATCTGTTGAGTGCTTGGTACTGTATGTCAGGGATATTTTTGTCCAGTATTTTATTGAATGCTTTTATTCCACAGAGGAGGAAATTGAGTCTTAGAGAGGTTAAACAACTTGGTCAATGTCAAAGAGCTAGTGACTGACAGCTTCAGGATTTAAACTCAGGCCTGTCATTCCACTAGACCAGAAGGGGCAGAAAACAAGTTTGAGGGCCTGGAGTTGGTTCCTTTGAGTCTAAGCCCCTTGTTTACCTGGCATCTGAGGGCAGGTGTACATAATGCCATGGAGAAGAGTGCCGGACATGGAATTTGAAGGTCAGGGTCATATTCTCAGTTATGACACAACATTGTGTGACTTGGAAAAGTCCCCTGGGCCTTAGCATGCTCCATACTGTAGCTTTTTAAAAATATGGATTTGGAGAGTTCCACCACAGACTGATAAAATCAGCCTCTGGGGATGGGACCTTGGGGAATTAGTATTTTTAAAACTTCTTAGTTGATTCTAATGTGCATCCAAGGATGAGAATACCTGAGCTAAGTGATTTAAGTCAGCACTTCTCAAACTTTAATGTGCTGCAAATCACCTGAGGATCTAGTTCAATGGAAATTCAGTTCAGTAGGTCTTGGACTCTGCTTGTCTAACACGCTCCCAGGTGATGCTGATGCTGCTGGTTCAGGGACCATGCTTTGAATAGCAGGGGCTAGAGGGCCCTCAGTCTGAATGAAACAACTTGGCACTCACCTGAGTGAGCTGATCCCCTTCCCAGCAATCCTGACTAGGGTCACTGTCTAGCATTAAGGGGGCAGGCAGCCCACCATTATCCCACAGGCCCCATGGCTCAGGCAGATGGCACAAGACACAGGACTTCATCACTGTGCTCTGCCTCCCCACTTAGGCTTAGGGAGGAGCATAGGAGTAATGGACAGGCAGGTACCTCTCTCCTCCCTTCTCTTCTTCTTTGTTCTGCCTCAAATCATGAGTGACAGGGGGCTGTAGTGGACTTCAAGTGTGTGTTCCTGACATGTACGACTATCCTTAGGGATTGGCTCCCCTGACCCTCGTGGCCATACCAGACTTATAGCCCTTTAGGTGTCACGTTTTCCTTCTATGCGCACCTTTCTGGAAACTCCTACCTGGTCCCTCCTTTGGCACTTCCCCTTTGTCTTAATGACAGGAAAGCAGAACTGGCTGCTGGGAGGGGATCTGGGGACAGGGAAGGTCCTTCTCCTGGGTGTGTGGCAGGAGTAAGAGACTATGGGGTGGTTGCAGCAGCCAGCTCAGCTATCCTAGCAGCGAAACCATGTCCCTCAAATGCTCCCTGGGTGGGTGTGAAGTCCCTTCAAGCTACTCTTATCACCCTCCCCCCACCTGCCTAGAGACCTGGAGCCTTTCCCAGGCCTGCATTACCTCCTGCCGGAGGGGCTGAGGTAATGCTAGCTGGGAGGTCCTGGTGCTTCCTAGCTCTTGATCATAGGTAAGAGTTGCAGTAACAAGAAACATGCACATACATACAGATGCAGGTGCATGCACAGACCAAGGGGCCTGTGGGGCTGTGAATACAAGAGCACGAGCCCACACCAATCCATGTGGATCGTGAACATGAGCAAACTTGGCTACAGCTGTACACAGAAGCACACACTTGAGAAAATACACAAGTATTTTCCCCATCCTTGTTTGCCCTCAGGGGCCCCAGAGGCTTCTTTTCTCCCTCTCATTAATGTGTGACCCTTGAGTATCTTGTTAGTTTTTCTGACGGACTTCCACCTTCCCACATTCTTTATCTCCTCCTCCACCCACCCAACATATCTGAAATATTGTTTTGTGCTTTAAGTTGTCAGCTCCAGCTGCCAGGTTCTCATCCTGGATTCTTTGTGGGAGGGCACTGCAGAGGAGAGCACTTGCTGCCTTGGAAAAACCCCACTAGTCTCCTTAGAGTCCCCTGGTCACAGGTGCTAAGAAAATGGAGGAAATGGGGACAGGACTCTGTGGTCAGAGCAGCTCTGCTGAGCAGCAGCCCACCCCACCTTTAATACCAGGTCCCATGTCCCAGCCCCGCTGCTTCCTGGCACCACTTGGGTAGGGACAAATAGCTGCCTGGGCAGTCTCAGGGCTTCGCTGCTGGTATTCAGCCTACACTGAGCCAAGAGGGCCTCCTCTGTGGCTTCAGTCCAGCTACACGTCTGCACCGAGGCTGGCAAGGTTGTCCCACTAAGTGCCCGGAACTCCCAGAGAAGAGGTAGGAGGCCGATCCAGCCATTGACCTCCAAGACGCCCACAGGCCACCACCGTGTCAGTAAGGTAGTCAGCACTGGGTTATGCCGCAAATAAGCCAGTCTCAGAGGAGAGCTGAGTCAGTCCTGGGAGACTCCCAGGGGGGAGAGAGCTGGACCTTGAGTGGTAGGGGAGGAAGAACACTGGGGCAGCCGCCATGTCAGAAGTGGCAACCCTGAGCTGGAGTCTAACTGAACTTGGACTCCGGGCCTAGGACTGCTACCCATTCCTTTCTGAGCTGCTTTGGAGAGCTGTGAAATGGTGATAGTAAAACCTTCTTCACAACTTCTTGTGTGTGTTCAGTGAGATTTGGTTATCAAAGTGCTGGAGAATGTTAGGTATGATGAGGGAAAGAGCATAATAATTGGTGAACATTCCATCTCCTTAACTGGACTAAGACAGTCTACCCAGGCCATGGAAAGGGATGGCTCCCCGAAGAAGAAGGGTGAAGATACAGCTGTGCCTCCCCTCTCCCAGCAGTACTCTGATCCCAGATGGTACTAGGAGGTGCTGCTGTTGGCAGGTTCTGTTCTTGGGCAGGGGCAGAAGACAGGGATGGCATTGGGACAGGTAAAGAATGAGGCTCAAGAAAGGGGTCTCAGGACATACAGGAAATAGGGCTTGGGGAGTAGAGAGTAAATCCTAGCTGCTTGTGACATGAAGCAAATGTGCCAACCCCTCCTAGCTTCTCTTGCTATTTCCAGATCACCAGAACTAGAGGTGCCTGCCTGTTGGAGGTGAGGCAGCAGGCACCCATCACCCCACTAAGCCCACTTTTCTGCCTCATTCTCTCTTCCTGTTCTATTTTAGAAGCTGAGACCAAAAAAGCATGTGAGTGGCTCCGAGCAACAGGATTTCCTCAATATGCTCAACTTTTTGAAGGTAAGGTTTCCCTTCCCCTAACCTCCAAATGTTCCTTATCCCTCCATTTTTCATCTGTAAAATGGGGAAAATCAGATCCTTTCTATGACTGTACAAGAAGCTGTGTGTCCTGGCCCTGCTCCTATAGTTAGAACCTTTACATCATCATCTCTACTGAATAGCTCTTATTAGCTCTTACAAGCTCTGCTGTTGCCCATGTGTAAAATACCTTGTCTTGACCAGGGCCACTGCTTTGTACCATTCCAAGGATGCCAGCTGCATAGATGCAGTGTGGAGGGTGTGCCCTGGCAGATCGGTCCTCACTTCATCTTCCCCATGGTCTCATTTCTGTTTTCCTTCATATTTCCATTTTTCTTTAGCAGTGTTCCTACTCGCTGTTTCTACTTCTGCTCTTCTTTCCACATTCCCACTGCACCCTGGCTTTCCCTCACTTCACCAACAATAGTCCTTGTCAAGCTCACCAGTGAGCTTGTGGTCAAATTCAGTGGTCACTTCCCAGTCCTTACTTAATCTCTCAAAAGCTTCAGTGCAGTTGGCCACTCACTTCAGCTTCTAGAAACCCTCCTCTCCTGACTGTCTCTCTGGCTGCTGCTCTCCATCTCCATAGCTGACTCTGCTTCTGCTAAATGTCTGGTTGTCTCAGGGCCAAATCCTTGCTCCTCTTCTCTCTCAACATTTCTTTCCCAGGAGATTCTTTTTTTTTTTTTTTAAATATATCTTTATTGATTTCAGAGAGAGGAAAGGAGAGGGAGAGAGAGAGATAGAAACATCAATGATGAGAGAGTCATTGATGGGCTGCCTTCTGCACGCCCCCGACTAGGGATCAAGCCTGCAACCTGGGCATGTGCCCTGATCAGGCACATGGATCCTATGTCAACGCTCAACCACTGAGCCACGCCCAGGTGGGCCCCAGGAGATTCTTGTCCAAGTACCATCTATATTCTGGTGACTCCCAAATGTCTCTCTGTCCAAACCTCATTCCCAAGCTCCAGATTTATCTGTTCAACTGCCAATCACTACCTCTACCCAGATGTCTGCCAGGTGTCTCAGATTTAACAGGTCTCAATCTGAGTTCCCCATGGCATCACCACCTACTCAAGCCCCAAATTCAGGAATCATCCTCAGTTCCTTTTTTCCTTTGTCTTCCATAGCTAACCCTTCAGCAAGCCCCTTCTCCTTCCAGAATATTTCTTGAGTCAATCCACTTCCTACCATCTTCACTGCCACATCAGTGTGACCTGCTGTCACCACTCACCAGGCCTAGTGTGCCAGTCTCCTTCTTGCACTCCCTCTTTTACTCTGAATGCAGAGCAGCTAGAGCCCCCATCACTATAGGCCTCGCTATGTCACTCCTCTGCTCTCTGTCACTCCAGCATACTTAGAATGAAGTCAGCCCAAGTGCTTTATCCTCACCCTTTCTTTATTCCTCTTCTCTTTGCTCACTATACTCCAGGCTCCTTTTTATCACTTGTTCACTCCAGGCCCTTTTCCTCTTCAGAGAATTAATTCCTCTTCAGAGAATGTTAGTCCTGCCAGGAACGCTCTACGCAGGCACTTTGCACCGCTGGCCCCTTCTTGTTCTTCAGGACTCAGCTCAGAGGTTAGCCCCAGAAGGCCTCTACAGACCACCTTTCTAAGAGTAGCCCCCACCCAACATCTCTTTACCCCATCACTTTGGTTGATGTCTTTCATAGCATTTATTATTGCATTCTCTTGTTTGTTTCGTGTATTGTTTATTGTCTTTTGCCCCCAGGAGAGTGAGAAGCCCATAAAGGCAGGGACCATTTCTGTCTCATTTGCTGTTATATCCCCAGTGCCTGGCACAAAGTAGATGCTCAGTGAATATTAGGAAATGAGTCAATGGGCTGGTTTTACCAATAAGGTAGAGAGGTGTGGGATTTCCCAGCTGCTCTCACTTCTTCCCTTGTTCCTTTCTCTCTCTCCTCCCCTCCCTAAACCCCAGGGACTGGGCTACATGCTCTGGGTAGCAAAAGGAAGTATTTCCTCTGTCCTTGCTCTCTCCCTACTCCCCTCATTCACGTTGGGACAGGGAGGAGGTTCCCTGTTTGAGCAGCCCAAGATTCAAAGGGAACTGAGGGAGCCCCTGTTGATTCTTGGCAGTCACCCAGGGCCTCAGGCCTGCTGTCCCCCATAGACCTGCCTAACTGACTGATGGATCCTCTTGTCTAGCTCTACCTTTCAGGCCTCTCCTCATCCTTTCTGCTGATGGCCAACCCAAGCTTCCAGGGCCCCTCCTGTCCTGCAGGCATCCTCTTTCTTCTCTGGTCTTGCTTCCCCAGCCTCCCTGCTTCCCCAGCCTCTCCTTTCCAACTCAAGGGCCACTGGCAGAGTTTCTGACCAACCACTCTCGACTTATCTTGGCTTCTCTCTGCCATGCAGAAGGTTCATTTCCCCTGGATATTGGCTGTGTGAAGAAGGACCACGGTTTTCTGGAAGAGGACTCTTTGGGGGCCCTGTGCAGGTAGGGGGGGGCTGAGGGCCAGACCTGGGAGGCCGGGACCCAGCTTGGGGCTTCCTCATGTTAAAAAATCCCTGTCCCCCTAACACAAGAGGAGCCTCATCTATTAACAAAGCTCATCTATTGCCTGGAGGAAAGGCATCCTCGCTCACTCTGTCTTCTGGATCTGTGACACCCTCATCCAACCAGGCACTCTAGCTGGAAAGCCAACATCTGGCCTTGATTCTTTTCTCCCTTTAGTTAGATTCCACATACCATACTTTGATTTGTCCCCTCTCTACTTACACCAGTTTGGCCCTGGTTTGAGGTCAAACCACAACTTCTTGGATCCATCACAGCCTCCTAACTGGCCTTCCTGCCTCCCATCTCTGCATTCCCCTCCTTGTCATGGTCCAGCGGCCCAACAGCCCCTAGAGTCAGTTTCCAGGTGGGTGCTACCTCCTCTGTTTAAAATGTGTCCTGCCTGAAGGGAAAAGTCCAATGCTTTTTGGCATAACACCTGAAGCCCTTGCCTTTCACAATCTGGTTTTGACCAACCTTATTAGCCTCAGTCCTCTTTCATAACTACACTGGTCTGTTTACTGTTTCCCTCCCTACCTTGTTCCAAGTTCCTATTGAAGTCTGAGATAGGAGTCCTTCTGTCTCTCTCTCTCTCCAAATCCCATTTCTGTCTTCCAGGAAGCCTTATTTAACTACAACTCCTTTGTTCATGGAAGTTCCTTGTCCTAACCTCTGTGCCTGCTGTGCCTTCTGTCTATTCTGTTCATGAACCTTTCCCATCTCTGTAATGGTTTGTTTCCACATCTTTAAGCTCTCAGAGAACAGAGGTCATAATCTACCCAGCATTGCATGTAGCACTGAAACCTTCATGAACACTGGGCTTGGGAGAAATTTCATTGGCTGGGCATGTGAATTAGTGGATGGCATCTTGGGAGTGTTTTGGTAGGTTATGCCCTGCAGACTTTGGAGGTTGGGACCTTTGGATGAACACTGCTTTGTTTCCTTGCAGGAGACTGATGACCTTGAACAATTGTGCCTCGATGAAACTGGAGGTTCACTTTCAACGCAAGCAGGTCAGTTATAGCAAGAGTGAGGTCTATGAACTTGTGGGAACCTAAGACATACACAAACCACTTTCGAAACTAGCTCCAGTGTCCCAGGGATGTCCTGAGCAGTGCCTTGCTTCAGCCTAGGAGTGCAGTGTAGGAAGCTCTATGAGGCCTCTGGGTTTTGGCTAGCCTGGTCTAGAGACTGGAGTATGAGAACAAGTACCCTGACCCTTGGCCTCACTCACTTCCCTCAGCTCACCTCTACCTTTTGGGTTTACTAATAACTTGACTTAGAGATAGTTGTTCCTTAAGGAAATTCATCTGCCTCCACTCCTTGCTCTGAGATGGCAAAAATCCCTTGATTAGGGGGTAGACAGAATAATTTGATGGAAAAATCATGGCCTATATGATCTTAGAAGTCAGGGTCCTTAACTCCACCCATACCAAGTCCTTTCCCTCTAAGCCTCATTTTTCCCATCTCTACAATGAATAAGGGTGTGGGGGATTAATAGCTTCCAAAGGCCTTTCTGACTCTGCCAATCTGGGATTGTAGAAACCACGAGAATTGTTGGTCTGCACATAGCCTTGGATTGTGGACCTCATGACCCCATCTTGCCCTGGGGTCAGACTTTGTGGGTTTCCTCTGGGGTTTTCTCTCCCAGAGGCCTGCAGCCAAGTGTATCAGCCAAGTTGCCGGACCCTTACCCAAGAAGCAGAAAACCCCTGGGACCTGGTCCCCACTGACTGCTCAATGACTTTGGGCAAACCTTCTGGGCCTTAGTTTTCCCACCTTGCATATTAGAAAATGAGAAAATCTAAAATCTCCTCCCAGCTCTGGCATTTGTGATTCTGATCTAAGACCAGCCCAGACTTGAGAGGTTGCTGAGGACAGGAGGTCAAGCCACCTGGATTCCAGCCTGGCTCTGTCACTGACTTCCTGAATGACATTTTATGACCTTGGGCAAGTGGCTTCTCATTTGTGGGTCTGACTTTCACTATCTGTAAATTGAAAGGGATTAGATTAATCAGATGACCTTTACCATCCATCAGAGTTTCATCTACGACAACTGGCTTCCTCCTTCTGGCACTCTCAGAGCCAGCTCTCCCTCTAGGATATGTATTAACCAAAAAACAGGACCCTGTTCCTCAAAGTCCCCCAAGCATTTGGAGGTAGAGTGGAGCACAAGCAAGGGCTTGTGGGTGGACTTCTCTGACCCGACCCTGTGGTGCTCTTCCCAGAATGAAGACTCAGAAGAGGAAGAGCAGTGTACTATCAACAACTCTTGGGCCTTGCAGAGAGAAAGTAAGTGCTGGTCTCACATGGGCTCTTCTGACCTGCTGGCCTCACCGAACCCTGGACTGCCAGTCACCTCCAGCTGTGAGAGTGTACTCACTGAGCTTAGTGCCATCTCTCTGCCGGCCATCACCGTGAGCCTACCACCCAAGCCAGTGGACCTGCTTTTGCTAGGCCATGACCCCAGCCCGAGTGACAGGCCCCAACTCAGCACCACCCAAGGCCCAGAGGGTCCCCAAGACAAAGTCAAGAAGCGCCGTTCCCGGAGCTTCCTGAAGCACCTTGAGTCTCTGAGATGGAAGGAAAAGGGTGGCAGCCGGCAAGCTGAGCCTGAGCGTAGCCAAGCCACCTTGGAGAAGGCCACCAAAGGCTCCTCTTTCCGAAGTCACCACAGCTTCCTCTCAGCTGGATTCTATAGGGCCAAGAACTGGGGAGACACCTTAGCCAGTGGCAGTGGTGCTGAGACTCAGAGGGGCTGGGAGGTTTGGCCTGTGGCCACGCTCTGGCACCCTCAACGGGTACACAGGGGTGACTACCTGGTGCATGTGCCTAGGGACCACAAACCAGGCACATTCCCTCGCTCCTTGTCCATTGAGAGCCTGTGTCCTGAGGACGGACACCGTCTAGCCGATTGGCAGCCAGGTAGGTGCTGGGGCTGCGAAGGGCGCCGGGGCTCCTGTGGCTCCACAGGCAGCCATACCAGCACCTATGACAACATGCCTGAGCTGTACCCAGCTGAGCCTATACTGGCTGGAGCTGACGCCGAAGATGAAGAGGAGAGTGGGGGCAGCTATGCCCACCTAGATGACATCCTCCAGCATGTGTGGGGGCTGCAGCAACGGGTAGAGCTTTGGTCTCAGACCATGTACCCAGACCTGGGGCCTGGAGATAAGGAAGAGGAAGAAGACGAGGAAGAGGCTACTTCGTCAGTAGAAATAGCCATAGTTGAGGTAGGAGGTCAACCTGAGGCTCTGGGCCAGGTAGAGGCTCCCACCCACAGAGAGTCCTCAGCCCTGGACCAGGCTGATATCCAGACAGTCATCTTGGCTCAGGCCTCAGCTGAGCTCCAGGCAGAGGCTGAGACCAAGTCACTTGGCCAAGCCCAAGATAATGAGCAGGAGGTGAATTCAGGTGGGGAACCCACCTCTGCCTCCAGCCTGTCTGTGGAAGAAGGACGCTCCATTTCTGACACTGTGGCCTCCTCCAGTGAACTGGATAGTAGCAGGAACTCCATGAACGAGGCTGAGGCTGCAGGGTCCCCGGCTGGATTCCAAGCATCAGCACCCCGTGAACGACGAGATTCAGGTGTTGGGGCCTCACTTACCAGACCCTGCAGGTGGGAGTTCAGGATAGGGAAAGGGGCAGGGGGCTGTGTTGTCTCTGTCTCTTCCCTTCCCAATTCCTTCCTTCCCCTTTCTCCCCTCCCTCCATTTTCACTCCCCCTCCCAAGCCAATTTCTTGGTTATGAGGCCCAGGGGCAGGTTCTTGGGAGCTGGCTGATTGTCTTTAGGCACCCAGTTGCAGGAAAGAAACAAGACTACACCACTTGGCAATCCAGAATATTGGGTTCCAGACCTGCCTCTGCTGTGGCCTTGAGCAAATCCTAGCTTGTCTTTAGGCCTCTGTTTTCCCATGTGTAAATCGAGAGCATTAGAAGAGATGAACTGTGATCCCCAGCTTTACCATTCTATGTTTTTCAGAACACCCCATCCACTGCAGTCCTGAAAGTGTAGGGGTTGGTACTACTTGCTAGCACTAGATGGGCCTGAGCTCTGTGCCACATCCCTAACAGCATCTGGGCCACTGGGCCACCCTGGAAGCTGAGACTAAGCTTTTTCCACCCTGGGGCCTAGCAGCTATGCTGGCAATTGTCCCATCTCCTTGCATTTTCTTTGTTTTGGGGAAAAAAGGGGTCCAGAAGAACACAGCCCATTCTAATGTTGACCCAACCCTGCTCCTCTGGCTTTCTACACTCCCCTCCCTTCCTTACCAGGAAGCTCCGTTGGCACAGTTTCCAGAACTCCCATCGGCCCAGCCTCAACTCGGAATCACTGGAGATCAACCGGCAGTTTGCCAGCCAGATCCACCTGCTGCACAAGGGCTCCTTGCTGCGGCTCACGGCCTTCATGGAGAAGTACACTGTGCCCCACAAACAGGGCTGGGGCTGGTGAGTGCTCCTGGGCCACAATGCCGGCTCCCTCCCTGCCCCTACTCCAAGGTCCTGGGAGTATCAGCTCCAGAAGGCAGGTGTAGAGCCCACTGGCCAATGGAGTGGTGGGGTGTGCCAGGAGGCTAGAGGGGCTGTGGCCTGCGAGATCAGCATTGCTCTGAGTGGCTTGTACATATGTCTGCGGAGGGTGCACATAAGATGCATGGAAGTATGTGTGGCATGTACAAGGAGGGATGGCGGTGGGTATCATGAGGTCCTCGAGCTACCATTAGCAAGGTTGTCCTAAAATGCAGCTTTGGTTGTCACACTCTTGATAAACACCTTTCTGTGGCCTTGTGGCTTGGCACTGCCAAAGTTTCCTCCCTATAATGATCCTTTCATGTTCTAGTACTGCCCTTCTTTTGGGCTCTTTCGCCTGCCACTCCTAAGCAATGTCATTGTATGGGCCAGTCGCCCTTCCCTGAATGTGCCATGCTCTTTTCTTTGCCTCTTTGCCTTTGTCCATGTTTTTTTCTTGGCCTGGAATGCCTTTTTCCCATTTCTCTTCTGGGACAATGTCTACTTATTTTCAAGAGCCTGCTGAATTTCTACCTCTTTTTGAAGCCTTCCCTGACCCACTAGGTACAGTTCCCCTCCCTCATGGGTCTTCCCCTAAGTTCTTGGCCCACTACTGACCAAATGCATTGTCACTGCCTGTTGACATAGTTATTTCTTTAACCAGACTGAGAACTCCTTGTGTTCCTCTGTGACTCCCTAGGGCTGGGCCCAGAGCAAGTGCTTAGTGAATGTTGACTCTGGGGATGTGGTATGTTTCTTACCCACTCACCCCTGCCTGAGTCCCCCAAGGCTGCAGACAGTCTCCAAGCTGTGTCCCCACCTACCCTGTGCCCCTTCCTGATCTCTTGTCACTCCTCCATACAGGTCAGTGCCCAAATTCATGAAAAGGAACAAAACCCCAGACTACCGGGGCCAGCACGTGTTTGGGGTGCCGCCTCTCATCCATGTGCAACGTACAGGCCAGCCGCTGCCACAGAGCATTCAGCAAGCCATGCGCTACCTGCGCAGCCAGTGCCTGGACCAGGTGAGCCCCCCGAGGGACTGCATAGAGATGGCAATGGGGAGGAAGCCCAAGGCTAAGAAATTGGGGTGAGAAGCTGCTCTGCTCTGCTCCTTCCCCTTTGGTTTGACCACCAGAGACCTTTTCTAGCCTCAGGAAGGCCCAGCAAGGATTGAGCCAAAGCTCTCTTCTGCCCAGCTCCATGCCAGCCTCTTGTTGGCCCAACCACTATAGTCCCCAACTTCCAAGAGCCTGCATTAGCCTAGGTTCCCCTTTTCTTACTCATTTCCACTAAAGCCATGTTTCTCCTTGGCCTGAGGCTATAAAAACCGTTTTCTTTGGTTTTACCATTTCTCTACAATCCTGCACAGCAGGAGGCCTGCTGGCCTTGGATGTTTCTGGGATGGCCTACACTTGTGACTCCTGGTCCCAGCATGGCTTCACAGTCTCCCCCTCCATGTCTCCCTCCCTCCCTGATCTGCATGGGCCAGGTGGGCATCTTCCGCAAGTCTGGGGTGAAGTCTAGGATCCAGAACCTGCGCCAAATGAATGAGTCCTCTCCCGACAATGTCTGCTACGAGGGCCAGTCGGCCTACGATGTGGCTGACCTGCTGAAGCAGTATTTCCGAGACCTGCCCGAGCCTATCTTCACCAGCAAGCTCACCACCACTTTCCTGCAGATCTACCAGCGTGAGTTGCTTGTACCTATCCCTAACATTCTGCCCCATTCTCAACCATCCCTGAGATAAAACAGGCTCTATTTCCCCAAACCCACTATATGGATGGGTAGACTGAGGCCCTGAGGAAGTTTACATTGTGCATTTGAGCAGAGCTTGATCTAACACTCAGAGACCTCCCAGAGCCCACCTTTGCCCTTCTCTTTCATTGGATTCTCTTAGAACCACTGTTTCTTCTGTATTCCTGGAAGCAGTTGGCTCCAGGGTAATAAGGAAATCCTTCTGCCATTCTTTCCTCACAGTCCTCCCCAAGGATCAGTGGTTGGCAGCAGCGCAAGCTGCCACTTTGCTGCTCCCCGATGAGAACCGAGAGGTGCTGCAGACCCTGCTCTATTTCCTAAGTGACATTGCCTCTGCTGAGGAAAACCAGATGACAGCCGGCAACCTGGCAGTGTGCCTGGCACCCTCCATCTTCCACCTCAACATCTCCAAGAAGGATAACACCTCACCCAGGTGAACAGGGTAACATGTGGCCCGGTCAGGCAGGGAGGGTTTGGCCCCTCAACCTGGTTGGACTTCAGGCCCTTGATGGCTGGCACTGCAGTTCCCAGGCATCACCAGAAGGGGTCAGCCTGACTCTTCAGGGGCAGGGGACTGGTTGATTGCTGTGAAGCAGGGCCTTCTGAAAGACAGCAGGTTGTTTTGTGTTAGGGACTGGTAAGCTGGATTCCTGGGAACTGGAAACCAGTCTGTCAGCCATATTGTCTCCTGCTCTTGTGCCACCCTCTCCTCTTGGCCCTCCCCTCCAGAATCAAGAGCAAACGCAGCCTGGTTGGTCGGCCAGGCCCTAGGGACCTGAGTGAGAACATGGCGGCCACCCAGGGCTTATCACATATGATCAGTGATTGTAAGAAACTTTTCCAGGTGAGTAACTCCAGGCCATGATACCTACCTCTCAGACCCAGGGGAACCATCAGGTCTGACCTTTGTATTCCCAGATTTGACACATGCCCCTCAACCTCCTACTTCCAGATCTTCCCGGCAAGGTTTGTCACCTACTTCACCACAGTAACCAGGCTTCCCCACCCTGTGAACATGAACCTGACAGACTCTGTGGGCTCTGGGACTTAGGCTCCCTGACTCTCTGCTGCTTGCTCCTCATGGCCCCAGCCCAGTGTATGCGTACCCTACCAGGTGCCTCAGGACATGGTGCTGCAGCTGTGTGGCTCCTACAGTGCAGCTGAACTCAGGCCTCCTGGCCCAGCCCTGGCTGAGCTGCGTCAGGCTCAGGCTGCTGGTGTGAGCCTGAGCCTCTACATGGAAGAGAGCATCCAGGAGCTGCTACGGGATGCTGCTGAACGCTTCAAGGGCTGGATGAGTATACCAGGGCCCCAACACACAGAGCTGGCTTGCAGGAAGGTGAGTACCGCACTTCCCATGGGCTCAGAAGAAGGTTGGGTGCAGGTTAGGGGACCAGGGATCCCAAAAGAAGGAGCTTCCCTGCCGGTGCTGCTGTATCTCAGCCTGATACTTGGATAACGTCAGTCGGTAAAGCAAGAACCAAATGAGACCAAGGGATCTCTCTCGGGGATTATTTCCCCAGAATTACCTTCCCAAAGCCCCACTCCAGACATGTCACTACTTTTAGAGCCTCACTTCCCATTTCATCTCTGCACCACAGTCACACTGTGTTTCTGCCCCTGATGTCATGCTACCTGGAGTGACCTGCCTCAAGCATTACATTTCCCAAGCCACTTTGAGCCCCAACTTGATATGCCCCCTCCTCCATTCAGAGCCCCCTGTCATGCCCTGGGCTGGAGGTGGTTTCTCTTTGTCCTTCTCTTGGCACCAGCCATGTTCTTCCTCAGTTTCTGATTATGGGTAAGACTGCACACTTGAGGTTTATCATATATAAACCTGTCACAGTGAAACCTCCCCTACAGGGTAGGGGTGAGAAGCTGGCCCAGTGCCTGGTACATACAAAAAGCTCAGTGAGTGGTAGCTTTTGCTGCTCTGTACATTGTCTACTTTGTACACTATGTGGTGAGTTCCTTGAGGACCATCACCATCTTCTCTTCCAGTTCACTTCCAGAAATTCCAAGCACTGTGCCCATTTTATGGTAGAACCTAGTAGGCCTCAGAGAATGTGTGTCTGTCATCTCTTTGTGCTCTTGAGCAGGTGAGGAAGCAGACATCTGGAAAGGAGAGAGAGGACAGGGAACACAGGGATGGCCTGGTTGGGTGTGACAAGGGTTAGCACAGTAACCCTGCAGCCTTCTTTTCTCAGGGACTGAAGTGAGGGTAGGCCAGGAATGGGAGGTAAGTAGGAGTTCTCCAGCCCTTACAGCTGCCTCCTGTCCCTGCTCACATGGCCTGCAGGCACCAGACGGGCACCCCTTGCGTATGTGGAAGGCATCCACAGAGGTGGCAGCCCCTCCAGCTGTGGTGCTACACCGTGTTCTGCGGGAGCGGGCCCTCTGGGATGAGGACCTGCTGCGGGCCCAAGTGCTAGAGGCTCTGATGCCAGGTGTGGAGCTGTACCACTATGTCACTGACAGCATGGCACCCCATCCCTGCCGCGACTTCGTGGTGCTTCGGTGAGAGACTTCAGCTGCCACTCTGCTGTGCTTAGAGGACAAGGGAGGTGGGGTGGGGACCAGCTTCAGGAACCTGAATGTGTGTGTCCCTTCCCCATAGGATGTGGCGTTCTGACCTGCCCCGCGGGGGTTGCTTGCTTGTGTCCCAGTCCCTGGATCCTGAGCAACCTGTGCCAGAGTCTGGGGTACGGGCCCTGATGCTCACTTCCCAGTACCTCATGGAGCCTTGTGGCCTGGGCCGCTCCCGGCTCACCCATATCTGCCGTGCTGACCTAAGGTACCAGGCTCTCTTTGCTCTGGCCCCGTCCCTGTCTCTGCCCCATGTCATTGAGCCCTGGGAGCTGGAGCAAGTCCTCTCTTCCTTCCTCCTGGAAAGGGCTCCTGGTAAGAATTCATGGCTCATGCTTGCTTGCTTCTACCTCCCCAGGGGCCGTTCTCCTGACTGGTACAACAAAGTCTTTGGGCACCTGTGTGCCATGGAAGTGGCAAAGATCCGGGACTCCTTTCCCACCTTACAGGCAGCTGGCCCTGAGACAAAATTGTGAGCCTCAGCCTGGTTCCAGGGTGACACCACCCAGTCCCCTTGGTACCAAAGGAGTAAGAGGGGAACAAGAACACAGCAGCCCCAGATGCTGCTTCCTGGGGCAGAGCCAGTCTCTGTGCCCCAGCTGCCTGTCCCCATCTCCTGAAGTTCCTCTGCACATACAGAGGAAGAAGAATTTCAGTGTCCCATCTCCACTCTCAAACCTGTGTTCTGCCTTCCTGAGAGAGAAGAGCCATTTTACGAGTAAGAAGACTGCTGCTGCCCTCCAGGTCACGGAGCCACCAGTCAAACTGAAGCCTTACCAGTTTTCCTCCTGCGGGGATGGAGGGAGAAGGCAGTATGTGCTCCCAGCTCACTGCCTTTTGGAGAGTCCAGGCTATCCTGTTTGGTACTAAGGTCCCTTTGAGGTTGAACAGGAGGTTCTGGTCCTGCCTTTGGGCCCAATATTGGCCCTAAACTGACTTTTCTAGAGAAATTGGATGGGAGTGGATAGTCACAGGGGCAGAGCACAGGGCAGCCCCAACCACCAAAAAGTGTTTTATTTGTGTAAATACAATGCTGATTTTTATGAGGCTGATTTAAAGAGAGGGTACTGACAGTCCCCTGGTAGGCTACATGCCGATTTGGGATAGCTTGGGACATGAGAGTAAGAGAGGGAACTTCCTTTCCAGGTCTCAAGAGACCAATGAACCAATTTCCTTTGGCGTGGGCCCCACATTTGGTCTGCCACTCCGTGGGGTACAGTGCAGCCTTTGCTCATGCACTGCCATGTCTGGAGAATAAACAAGCTCACTCTCACTACACAGGCTGAGCAGAAGCAGACAGCGTCCCTTCTGCTCTTTGTGCCTGCAGTATCAGGCTCTTCTTCAAGCAGACACCTGGCCCCCAGCTCAGGTGGCCAGCCAGCCAAATGGAAGGCCCAGTGTCATCTCAGCCAGTTCCAAACGATCTATACTACCCATTGGCCATCTTAGTTCATGTAGAAATTCAAGTGCTATTCAAATGCCAGCTCATGACTTATTCTTCTTTTGGCTGAATAAAATGAAGTGGGATTGTTCCTAGCCAATGTTATAATTTTTAAGCCTATCTTGTATCTATAAATACTGTATAGTCATAATATGTATATATACTTGTGTATATAAAGATACATATATATACATACACACATCTATATACACACAGATATGTTCTATCATGAGTATACTATAATCTATGGGTGGGATTGGGTTGGGGGGCAGGGCACGTAGGATGAGATGGAGGAGGTGGAGAGCAGAAGCCACATGACCTCCTCAGCAGAACAATAAAGCATTACTAGAGATGTATTCCTGCTGTGTGACTGTCTTTGCTGAGATGATGGGCTAGGGACTGGGTTCCGCGTTAGGGTCAGAGGTTGTGAGCATCACTGGCCTAAGTCTCAGAGAAGTCACAAGAGGAATGGGGGCAAGGACTCAACTCTTCTCTTTTGGAGGTGGTTTGGGGATAGGGAGGCAAGATTCTAAGAAACCAGGGCTTGGGCAGAATCTGCAGACCCCATCCGCTTTCTTGGCCAGGGTCCCCCATCTGAGCGGCCCACAAGCATGAACTCAGGAGCCTTGATAGTAACCATAGGGAGAGATGTCCCTGGCTATGCTGTCCTTCCTTTCCCTGATACACACACCTTGGGTTGAGGGACAAAGTATGGAGACCCAGCCCCAGGAGGCTGGGAGAAGCTGTTGCACTCATAATCCAGGTTATGAGAGGTCTGAGTGCCTTGTGGCAGCTCCTGCCCTGGTTCCAGTGGCCAGCAAAACCCAGGGGACTAGAGAGTCCCTTTATTTTTATTTCCCTGGAGGAATGAGCTTTCTTCCTCTGTTGCTGTGGCTAGAAAATTCCCAACCTCCAAGGGGCAGCTAGAGACAGCACAAGCTTTGCAGTCAAATATGGCTGCGTCCCTTGAGTGTTATCAAGTAGCTTACGTATATCTATCTATCTATCTATCTATCTATCATCTATCTATCTATCTATCTATCTATCTATCTATCTATCTATCTATCATCTATCATCTATCTATCATCTATCTATCTATCTATCATCTATCTATATCTATCTATCATCTATCATCTATCATCTATCTATATATATCTATCTATCTATATCTATCTATCATCTATCTATCTATCATCTATC